GGGGGGGGTGAGGGGGGAGCGGATGATGGGATCAAATCGAAATGACATATTTTGGGCATAATCGGGAAACGTAACGTGAAGTCTATCTCCACGTCTACTCTTGTAGCTCAACAATATTTCATATTTTCAGCTTTTTAACACAACATTTATAAAAAGCTATTTTAGGTTATTTTGTAGAGTTCTGGGGGAAAATATGTACTATCAATTTATTTCTTTTAGTAATTTTATGGCTTATTTTTACAGCCTCCATTTCTACGTTGTTCACTCTCTCTCTCTCTCTCGCGCGCGCGTTTTTTACCGTAAAAAGTTTGAACTCCACGCATTCGGACGGCTAAAAAGAAGTCGCCGGAACCCCCATTTTTATTTTTACTTCTAGTATGATGTAATTTCATCGTGCAAAATAAAATAAAAATCTGACGATGGGATCTTTTGCCCATGAATATCCTTTAAAAACTTACAAATTCCAATTTCTGTACGGAGTCCACTGCGTAATTTTCAGTACTGAGTAAGCATGGCTTGGATCTTCATCACTRCTGACCATTAGCTCACACTGATCATCACATGCCATGTGGAGCTCGTAGTTTCCTGTTTCTGGTGGGATGAAGAAAGCACTTAGCTTCTGTCCATACATATTACCACGACCTCTGGGAGCCTCCAACGACTGTACAAATTCTGACGTACTCGCGTTGTTAGGGTAACGAGGGTCAGCTTCGAGTGCGGCTAATGTTCCTTGGGACAGTCCAGTCCAGACGTCGCGTCGAGTGCCGTGTGCATCTTGAATAGAAATGATAAGCACTGGTCAGTATGAAGGAGTACGACCTGCACAAAAACCAGCCTGGTTACCATTATAAAATGGTTACTTTAAAATGGGACAGCAAGGCCTATTTCGTACTCATGGACTCCCTGCAAGACATTCCCAAAGCAGCTCAATTCAGAAAAAAAGATCAATTTGTGATTCAATTCTGATGTAAGTAAATATTCATCGTTTTGTCTTTTTAACTGAGTTGCTGTATTAATATCCTGCAAGAGGTCAATGAAAATGAACGTCTTGTGGACGATTCAATTCGTAATTCATTGCCTTGACTACCATTATACACTTAGTACTCAAAAGTAGTAAGAGATGAAACGTTAGATAATTGAGGGGGGAGGGGAGAGTTGCACGATTTTATGTTGAACGATATATTTCTTTTCTTTCTTTTTCGTTTTCCTTTTTTTCTTCTTTTTTTTTTTTGTTGTACCAGCTTCTTTATAAAGCATTTTTTTGTGTTTACTCGATATTTGTTTACTGGAAGGAAAGGTTGCGCGACATATTTTTCGTACGTGAAGTTTTGCTTGATAATTTTGGGGGATTTACACAACCCCCTCCCCCCAATAATTATCTAATGGTCTTATCATAGTGCGTTTGTGATCCGTCCCCACAAACGTAGTATGCAAGATGACGTCACTCCTATATGATTTAGGATTGACCGACATCTTTTACAAGCTATATAATTTTCTAACTAAAAATTATGAATAATGAATTAAACTAGTTCCCAACTCTTGAGGCGGAAATTGAACTATTCTTAAGTATTCCAGCAGTTTCGAGTTCTCTGCCATCTTGCTCAGGGTTACCCTTTGCGGTTTTATGTAGCCGTATTCCCATTCCAGTAAAGATCCGTGCTAAGGGAGCGGTCATTAATTATTGGGGGGGGAGGGCCGGTAAATTATTTGAAACTAGGGATCAAAAATTTTGGCTCCACATAGAATTTGAGCCTAAAAATTTTGGCCCCCTCTGACAAGACAGCCCAAAAAATTACAGCCCTCCCCCTCCTATAAATAGCTTTAATTTTTGTATATGAGTCTGGAACGTTGCAAACTATAAGCATACATAGCAGTTAGATTGATATGTGGTGTTGCTTGCGAGGCACTTATTCTTTATAAAATACATCGGTTTAAAAATGTTATGATGGAAAAGTATAGTAAAAATAGTTAATAGTTTTAGTTAGTTCTTATGAATGTGGATTTAGATGTTCATTTTAATAGATGGTCATGATAGTGTTGATGTTGATAATGGTAGCAGCAATGAAAGTACAACAATCGCAGCTCAATCATAGATATTTTTACATTTTTGCGAGTTTATAGTGTGTAGAACAAAACATACATACGAAGAAAAAATGGTTTGGACGTGTTACTACTCATTAATAATGTTTTTGATAAAATCAATAGAATTTGTCTGCATACCAAAAAAGTCAGAGGCTTATACTCTGTAACTAGCTTATAGATGGGATACATATTGAACAGGAGGTTTTTGTGGATTATATGGGGGCCCAGAAAATTGCGACCCTCCCTCTAGCATGCGCCCAAACATTTTTGGCCCTCCCTAATGGAGAGCCCAAAAAATCGCAGCCCTCCCCATAAATTTACCGGCCCTCCCCCCCCCCCAATAATTAATGACCGCTCCCTAAAGTAGCTTTTAGCTCTTATACGAATTTAAGAGAGATCGTTTTGCTGTGAAGTTGGACTGTCGCTTGTTTACTGAGAGCGCCTACAAAGCAACTATTATTCCACAAAAGCCGAGCAAGCATCTCTTAACTGTGAATAAAGAATACAGGACCTTTCTCGCTCGGCAGCCATGTTGGATGTAGCAATAGATTTAAAGGGGCACTTGGATGAAAACGCCCCAATTTTTCAAAGTCCGAATAATTGAAKTATTTGTGGATACTTTGACTCAATTATGATTATGTAAACCAGAGCAGTGAAAATTTTCGCCTGTGAGCCACTTGCAGTTGAGAAATTTTGGGTTAAAAGAGAAAAGAACAATAGGGTTGAGTAAATGACGTCACAATATTATGCTGAATAAAATTGATAATTTTTATCTGACACATTTTACTGTGAAGAAAATATGTTGCTTGGCTACTATTGGGGCCATATAGATACTTTTAACTAAGTTTAAAGTCATTTCCAATTTTCATCCATTTTCATCCAAGTGCCCCTTTAAAAATGCCTTGATAGCAACTGTTTGTTTTCATTCTTTCTCATAACCAACAACCTAACTCTAGCTGGGTTTCATATATTTAATATCATTTTCTTGTTTTCGAACTTTCGGCACATGTTCTGGCCAGTACAACTAGTTTCCTTAATACATATTTGATTATATTTCTAACAGTCTATTTTCTATGGTGTGGATTTGATTGACTTGTTGGTTCTGGGCGAATTATGACCAAACCACACGCTAATTAATAATTTGTCTCTGGTGAGAGTTATTGCTTTGTTTTTTTACGAATTTGTTTCTTCTTTGTTAGAGAGCATACCATATATCCGTGAAAAACGTTCGTTGAAAGAAATTGCAAAAAGTTTTTTTTCACAAATAGTAATCTCAATAGACCCAAGTAGACTCCAGACCTACAAAACTTTGCACTAATTTGTACAATTTCGTTAGTAAACTTTTTCACGGATATATAGCATGCACTCTACCGGTTTGACCATTACTCTGTTGTCGTGCATGTGAATAGTGCAACCGCTAGTTATCACATCCTAATAAATAGAGGAGTATTTTCTAATCGCACAAGACATTGCGAGATATCAGGATTGTCAACATCTGATTGGAACGAACCACTGTGCTTGATTAGCAACAGGGAGAAATTCTATATCAGTCATAACATAGGGGGTTTGACAAAACTAATAATATTACTCATCAGGGTATTGGTCCCGTTTGAAAAACATACCTGCTATAAATTTTTTATTCTATCGAATAATTTATAAGTTGTGGATAATATTAAATTAGCTTGTAGTGAATTTTAAAATGGCGAAAAATTAAGATAGATCGATTGAGTAGTAATGAAAATAGTAGAATGATAGCAYACAACATTTGATTACCGATTATAAAAAGAAAACAATCATTTAATCAACTATTTTTCTGTCTGAAGTATGCTATATCCCATAATGAATTTTTTATAGTAACACGAAAAGAGAAACAAATCCACTCCAACAGTGGCGATAATTATTCAACGATGACAAATGACTTCTCATCTCAATCCTAGCTGTCGTATTTTTATTCATATTATATTTTTCTCTAATTGCACAAATCTAAATCAATATTCCATTTTTGTTCCGCAAGCGAAAACTACGATTTAATTATAATTGATAGCTTTAGACGATTTTTCTTTCTTTGGTTCATAGTGGAATAAGTATATACTTTAAACCCAGAATGTTAGTTTTTATTCAAAATATACCCAATCTTGCAGGTGGGCTTTTGTATCCTCAGAAACCTCGCAAAGTTTTCCTAGACAAACATCCATCATTTGTGACATCGTCTCTATGCTTTCCCCAAGGATTTTAATTGCGTTTTCCTTACCGTTTGGTATACACGAAGTAATCTGTAAAAATGCTTGTTCCTGTCCTCCTACTATTAGGACGTTCGTTGATGCTAGAAAAACCTGCAGACCCGTGTAGGAACAAATGTTATAACACTTTCAAATGATGGCGAAGCAACATTCAATTGAACTTACCGTTAAAAGAACCAATTCGTGCAAATCATTCCCGTGTTTCTTGGACATTTCTAACGACCAAAAATAAGCCTAGTCAATAAATAGCTCTGTTCCAAGCCTGTGACGACTGGAGTCTGTTGGCAAATTCGCAAGATTACTGTGGTTAAACTCCAATAATTATTCATAAACATGCATACACTGTATGTTTACCAACTGCTTTTTTCCCCAGCTGGATTTTAGGCTGTTATAGAATACATGAAATGGATCCTCCCAGCTAGCCCCCTCTTCATTACAATTGTAACACATCTGACTGATTGATCAATCAAGCTGAAAGGCCCATTTTTTTCTTCTAGGAAACAGACTCTCTAATCCATCAAAATGATAGCAAATGTGCACAGGAAGTGGTTCAGTGTAGTAAGTGTCTACAAGTAAGAAAGACGAGTACTCATAGTAGGTTTTAACGGAAAAGGACTTAATACTCRCTGCAAGGTGTAGGATAAACAAATATTCCATTTATTGAGGATTTGATCCACTCTTTGAATGCGCATATTAATTAATCCGTTTATTTGACACCACAAACAGCACGCAAACCTCTTTACTTCAGTTTCCCACCACATATTTGATCATACAACCTTATTGAAACAGTAATCTTTAGAATTCAGATCAAGGATCTTTTGAAAGAAATCATTGATAAAAGTTCTCGCCCTGAGGCAAAGTAAAGTGGAGCTAACACTTCGCGAATTGAGGAGATTTCTCGTGGCTCAGTAGGCTTACTTACCACAAGACCAATTGCTTTATGCATTTAAATGGCACTGATTGTGGTCTACTAAATACTGAACTACAGCCGATTTGAGTCAGGTAAACAAAGGCCACTTAAAAGTCGCTTTTTAAATTCCAATAATAATCCTTTTAATTGTTTAAAGCTTTATCATGAGGCGCTTACTAGTAAGGCCATTTTCCTTTTTTCCCCTGACAAGAATAAGTTTTTTGGATTTAGTGAATGAAATTCTGTCGAAAAAAGCTTACATTGTGAAATATATTGAATTCTTGGTTCCGACTGCAGTGAACCAATCACCGTTGTAGTAGTTTTCCCAACATAATTAAAATCGTGTCCCACAAACAACAACACAGCATCTGCTTTAAAAAGCACAAGGATTACGGGGCAATTCTCTTCTATTTTCACAGAAATTATCAATTTTTTCCACGATTAGAATTTTATAATATTGTTGAGGTTATGGGACATAGCAACGGTAACTAAGGAGATTCGGAACCATGAATTGGTAAATTGAATAAAAAACACTAGTGTGACAAAATATCTTGCTTGACAAGATGTCAAATGTATTTATCTAATCTTCTAATGAACGGAATCCTTGTTGAATTTGCTCCGCTAATTCGCCAAAATCAGCTCTGATTTTCGCTTCACCATCTTTGACAGGATCCTAGGAATAATTGAAATAAAAACCAGTCAGTTACTTAACAATTATCCGACGAAGTGATTATTGGTAAATATTAACCATAATCACTGAGCATGAGGTGAATAAATTCTTTCAGTAAAATTTTAAACTTGAGTATCAGAGAAAAGACGAAATTCAGGGGAAAAACGTTTTAGTATTACTTCCACTCTGTGAAACTTTGGGAAACCTCATAATCACCGCTCCAGCACAGGGAACCYGGCTATATATTTTTGCTTCTTTTAGAAAAGTAACTTTGCTCTTTGTGGGTTTCCTGTGTCGTGATAGGTTTCCCATTACATAAGCTGTAATCAGATCTGCGCTGTGATCAGATCGGCGCTGTAAACTGACAGCCGATTAAATTCAAATCAATAACCGTTGGTGTGTTGTTTCTTATGGGTTGCCTGTGGTGTGTAACGCACTTTCTAGTAAGCAGCAATAGGCCCTTTGCAGTTAACGGTCACGTATCTGTACTGGACTGCAAAATTTTTGTTTTTATATTAAATTGGTGATTCTTTTTAGCTACTTGTAAAGAACTGAATGAAAACATGTGTATCCAGTGTGTTACGAAATGCACTTTTATTACGATCTCTCGAAACAGGTTGTAGAAAGTTTGTTTGCAGTCCAGTAAATTTCACCCATGGGAATCAAAATGTTCATTCATTTGCTCTCAGTGAATTAATCAGCACGTGATTGCTTAGCTGCAAAGGGCCTATTTGATCACAGCGCAGATCTGATTACAGCTTATGTAATAGGAAACCGATCACGACACAGGAAACCCATAAAGAGCAACGTTAATTTTCTAAAAGAAGCAAAAAATATATAGCCGGGTTTCCTGTGCTCCAGCAGTGATAACRTCGTCTCATAGTCACTGTTCGCTTGACCAATCACAGCGCGAGAAATTCTATGTTCAGATCTAAAATTATAACGAAATCCGATATCCCACCCCCGGCACGACTCTTTAGTTTCAATTTGTTCTCACCTTAAACTTCATTGAAGAAAGTGCATATAGCGTGTTAGCCATGTTATCTTTGATCACAGCCCAGGTAATCTTATTATCTGACTGTGCAGTAGTTTCTACAGCATGTCTAGCTTGTTCGTAGAATAAGACTATATTAGACAGCATTCCCACAGTCTTGTAGAAGGGACAGAAGCGGTCGTAAGGAGTGTAGCCATTTTGTTGCAGGAAATCATCTTTAAGAAGCTTGGCAACTTCGAGTGTAATCTTGTCTGACTCGGCAAGAGAACCCTGGATTGTACGACAGTAGTTTAGTCACAATGTTACTAAAATCATCATTAAAGTGCCTATCACCCTTCTGACAATATTTACAGTATTGATTCTAC